AAGTTCTATACTTGATCTAGTTCACATTGACGGTTCAAATCGTTTATGTCCACTAGCGAGGACATGGACTGTGTGTTTCTTCTGTTACATGTACGTTGTAATGGACAAGTATAGTAACATGGCGTCGTTCAAATAAATTTAAAAATCCGTCCACTCGTGTCGACACCATCTAGCACGGTAGTAGGGATTTCATTGCTGTGATTCTTATAAACGGAGTATAGATGTTTGCTACCCAAAAAATATTACCTAAAACTTTGATGTCAATCGTATTATTACACTCATTATATCGCATTATACCTATTATTTTCTACACTTTCTATAGCCTTCAAATTCCTACTAAAAGATGTTTTTTTTTTAACGAGGACACTCTTTTTTACCCCAAAACTGTATCTATTCAGCCAGTTCTTGGCGGTGATCAAAAAAAAAATTAATATAATGCTAGTTTCAAAAGTATCCAAAACCTCTTATTGATTTACCATGGTTTCAGATTCTAGCTATTCTTACTTCCTACAAAAAAGCTATTAACAAAACACTCTGCTTATATTATGTGTTAGTAATAATAATGCTTTTAATGAAATGTTTACAAAATCGCCACTAGATGACACGAGCGGTACATAAATATGCGTTGTAAAAATGGTTTTATAAGATTTTACTTTGTTTACACATTTTATGAGATGTGCGAATTTTACAAACATTTATCAATTTGACATCATTTCAAATTAAAATTCTTTAGATAAAACTTTTATGTGCAAAAAAACTAATACTTGAAAATTATCGCCAACATTTTTTGGATAATATTCAAAACGATTTGCTGTAACATTATATTTTGAATTTATTTAGAAAAAACCTTAAAATGTACATTAAATTACATCATTTTGTTTAAAAACCGTTCGACAGTTGTTGTTTTTTTTAACTTCCGTAAAATGAATAAGTCAGCTTAGAAATCGAAGTCTGACAAAATTAGTGGGCTTCCCCAAAGGGAAAACGATTATAATACTTTATTTTTAAATGTTCAAACAACTCGAAAAAAGATCTATTTCTAGGAGAGGATTGTTCAGACGATTTAATAACGATTAAATCGAAGATATATTAAAACAAGAATCGATGAAATATTTTGGAAGTTTATTTCAATTTATACCTATTTTCAGGGATGATTAATTGTAATAATTTTTGCGTAAAAATGGCAGAAATCCGATTCAATGCTACTTGCAAAAACAACAAGATTAGTAGTCAAATAAATTGACATAATTTTCGTACGAAATCTTCTAAAAGGCTTCTAAAAGGCATTCATTATCCCAAAATATATAAATTGTGCAACTATTTGTTAATATCAGATGGATGTAAGCTTACAAATCGATAATTTTACCACCACTGCTAAGATTCCTTATAATTTAATTTTCTCTGAAAATGTTTGGCGTCAATTAAGGTAAAAATCCGAAAGCCCTTTTACTTTTGAAATACTTATATATACAATATGTAGCATAAAACTCAGTCATATATATTTTTAATTTTTCAAGGGAAATGCTCTGCAATTTTTAGGTCTTAGAACTTAGCTCGATGACGCAAACAAAATTCAAGGATATCAAATTTGTTTCGCTAATTTGTTTCCATGTTGCTTGATACGTATTCATATTTCGGTTACATTTTCGAAAACGGCACACACGAGTTCCTTTGAACCTGTTTAAACTCTGAAGTCTCAAGATCTAAGATCCCGTGAATTCACTTGCTACATTAACTCTGTTCTCTCGTGACTTGGTCATTTTTACACATTTTCGTTTTACTTTTTTTCATTGAAATAAGTTCATATCAATTAAAGAAACTAAACGACTGGAGACGGATTTTTTTTCAGCCGCAAGTATATTTATTAAAATTGATATTTTTCTATTCAAGTCACTTGCTACATGTGCTTTGATTGATCAAATTCAAAATATTTAAATGACAATCAAGGTTTTTTTCATCCTTCGTCAAATATTTATGATGACAATCGAAAGTTCTGCACAATTCGAATCTGTAATTACGGAAATTTTCTCAAAAATGCGTTGTATGCGTTTTTTTATTCAAAAAAAAAAGTTGTGAAAATTGATTCAATCAAACAGAAAAGATAAGTATGTACAATTATATATAAAGATAAATATGTATAAATGAAAGTCACGTGAATCACATCCAGAGATTGTGTGATTGGCGAGAGAAATGAGAAAATTGCATACCACTTTCATTCGACAATTCACGCCTTCAGTTGACCTTGATCTTTTTGTTTCGCAGCCAAAACTATTTATCGATTTGTTTTTTTTTTATTTGAATATTCATATAGAGCATTCAAAAAAGAGACATCGCTCGATGCGAAATGCTATGACCATTATCTTATCAAATACGCAGAAGCTAGAACTCACATAAGCATGAGTAAATGAATCATCGTTCCATGCTGTATACAAATCAATGATAATAAATGATTTGTTGTTGTTTTGTTTCTTTCATTTTCATTTGTTTCTTCCAAAGCAAATAAATAATAATGAATGATGCCGTCATGGTTTTTAGTTAAACGCACATACAAAAACATACATATTCGTATAAATCACGTGTTTTTAATCAGACTAACAGAACAAATGACAAAACTAACTGTATGTAATGCATACACATCTTACAGATTTCGAACATGTAATGACATCAAATTGAATTCGATCACAGACATGTAAATAGGAATCAAATTGTTATCAACAGCATTTTGAAGGTATTCAAGCAGGTTTATTTTTAGAGAGAATAAAGGGTCATTAACACATTTCAACGTGGAAAACACAGTACTTTTTTGGAAACCACAAAAATGAAAAGTGCATAAAAATGCGATTGCAACTCTCTCACTATCTACCACCCGGTTTGCATTATACTCTCTGTCTCACCCAGTGATTAGAATGACGCTAGTGATATATCGTGAAACTATTGATAGTACGATATGAATATCAATTTTGTGACTACAAAAATTTGTCTTTTTAATATTTTCTCTCAAATATAGAGCTCTAATAGAGATGCTCTATTTTGATATTTTAGATGTCTACATTTGAGGGAAAATATTGAAGAGCCAAATTGTTGTTGTCACAAAATTGAAATGTACCAATAGCACGATATTCATATCGTACTATCAATAGTATCACGATATATCACTGGCGTCATTCTAATCACTGGTTCTCACTCTCACCCAGGGGGAAATAACGATGAAAATGAGTGTAATTGCTGGCATTTGTATAGCGTTCTCATCGATGTGATACGTTAGTATTTTAATTGTTATTTCTCCCTCACTATCTCTTACATTAAACAATATGTCTCACCCGTTCTCTCTCACTATCTTTTCTCTTTCATTTACTTTCTGTCTTTTTCTCTATGCGTTCATTTCAAGTGTAAAATATTTTTAATCACAACATAAAATGGAATGCTCCGAGCATGACTGTTTTTGTATTGTTTTTGCTCTTTCTCATGACCCAAACTATAAACGAAACGTGTAGTATGATAATTAATTCCGATTTGATGAGCATTTCCAATTGAATGCATTTTACAAGTTTTATATTGTTACGTACATTGTTGACTATCATCAGACAACTGGACAAAATGTATACAATAAATTTTGGTGAAATAAAAACAAAGAAATTTCTTCGCGAATATGAAAAATACCTTGCCTTGTCGCCGAATACATAATCGATGTGATCCATTGATATTATCAATCAATTCAATACCAAAAAAATCCCATTTTCAAAAATACTTTTAGATTGATTCGTATCAAAATGAATGTTCTCCGCTGAAAATGGTTACATATAGTGTAATGATCAAAACAAATTTGAATATTTCATCCATTATTTGTATTCTATGGCGCATGAATCGATGTATCGAAGTGTCATTGCAAATGTATAAATTTTCTCGACTCTGAACTGTGTGACTGGTGTGTCTAATAATGTAAAATTTTAACGTTGTACACAAATACATTACAGTTTGGTGGCGCAATACAATACATCACCGAGACACGAAGCGCACCCAATGATAAAAACGTCCGACACACGCGTTCGCGAAAAAAGCGTGTACGAAGCAAATAAGAAAACGAAGAGAGAAAGAGATAGAGAGAGAGAAAAATCACCGACAACAACATCGTATTCAAACCGTGCAAAGAAATGGTTATTATAAAAGCGATCGACTTGTTCGAATATGTAATCAGTCGTTGGAAATTAAGTAATCGTTAAACACAGAGAGCGTTAAAAACAAACTGCGTACAGTTCATAATAAAATTAAATATCGTAAAAAAAAACAAAACATACATCACAAATTCGAAAAACTTAGTAAGTTGTCTTTTTCAATTGTTGTAAATAAATTCCGTGCAGTTTTTTGTGATTCAGTTTTGTTGTTAGGCGTTGACTACATTTAATTTTAATTTTGGTTTGTTTTTTTATTTTAGCGTGAAAACAGTTTTGATTAAAAATCGGTGAAGCACAGTGAAATAGTTTTCGTAATAAATTGCTGAAGTAAATTTCATTGAACCACAGCGGAACAAACACGAACAAAATGGAGTTTAAACTGAATGCACTTATTAGCACGATGATGTTGACCATCATATTTGCCATTATTGTTGACTGCAGACTTATCAATGCGCCCACTGACGCTGAAAATGAAGAATGTAAGTTTATTTTAAAGAAAAGTTCAATTTTTTCTTTGCAATAAATTGAATTGCGTTTTGTAAAGAACCCAACTTTTTCGGTTTTCAAAGAAGATCGAAAATTTGCCCCACAGCAAGTCTCAATTATGATTGAAGTGCAGAATGGTTTTTTAAAGTGAAACGTGACTGTCTTCTGTTTTAGATTACTTTTCCGGCGTACCAGTATATACACCAAGTCGTGAATGCTCGATGGCTGGAGGCATTTGTGTCCAAGAAGGAGATTGTGCAAAAGGCCAATTAGTTGGATACAAACTGGGCTTGTGCGAAGATCATGAAATGGGAGTCGAATGCTGTTATGAAGGTAAAAACAAATACATTACATTCTTCTTAATTTTCTTCGTATTCTTCTTCGTCGTGAACAATGATAATAACTGTTTCTTTTTTAATTTGAAATAGTCATACCACGAGAAGCACCATGTAAACAATTTGGAGGCAAGTGCACGAAAAATTGCAAACAAAATTCATTACGTCAACATCTTGCCAACGATTGCACTGGCGATGAAATATGTTGCGTTCTAGTGCAATAGGAGAGTGACCATATGCTGTCACACATTTTTTTTTTTGTAATGAAACGAAACAATTTTAATGTAACAATAATAATAAGTATGATTTCTGTGTTGTTTAACTAATTTTTTTTCGTGTGTAATGCTAGTGAAGAAAATTTAGCGTACTTTTGTTTAATTTTTAAGCATATCTTATTAGATGTTATGATAGTCAATAAATATACTGATTGAATATACTTTTCTTTTTTCATTTTATCTCCCTTTTCCTCTCTTTTATCTCCCTCCCTCTCTCTCTCTCTCTCTCTCTCTCTCTCTCTCTCTCTCTTTCTGGTAAATCAGAAGTGATGCTGAAAATCTTCATTTTAGAAGAATATACCGGTCTGATCATCAAAAAAGGATTTTTTGAACAAAACGACACCTCTAAACTTAAGAACGTTATGTTACACCTCAATCAACAGAAAAAAAGTCCAAGATATTTTCATGATTTTAATTTAGAGAAAGTTTTCTCTTTATTCCGCTTTTTAAAAAATGCTCTTTCATATTTATCATTATTTTGATATTTTTGTGTATATGATTTGTTTACTGTTGTTGACAAAACAGTCAACGCTTCAAGAACATCATGATGATCAATGAGAATTTGAACCTCGCACAGATGTAATCTGTGATTACAAAACGCGAACCCAAGGCGATTTGGAGAAAAAAATCAAGCCCGAAATAAATTGCAAAAAATGATTAAATCATAGTAAGCGATGTGTGTAAATGATTTCATCGCAAATGACCTAGTCGGTTGAATTGTGAGCGTGGCGGGTCAACAAATGATACGAATTCGAAAAAAGACGAAACTTCTGAAACATACACAGAATGTTTGAATGTACGCAACAGTGCTCGTCTTCGTTGCTTTTCAGCAAGCCTAACCCAATTTTTATTTTTGTTTTCATATATTCAATCGTCGATTACATACATATACATATAAATTTTGTTTTCGTGCACATTCTTCGCAGCAGAAGATAAATCAGCGAGTTGCTCTTGTTTATTTTCAATCGATTTAAATTTAATTGATGATGTCGGTTTTGAACGGCGCAAATTCGTTGTCATTTATTATGAAATTTGTTACTTGACTGTCGTTTTGATAATATGATCAAGTCCGGAATATTTAAAAATTTGCAAAGCAAAGCAATCGAACACAACACAAAAATGGTCGAAATAGCAAAAGACGATGAAATGAAAGAATATTTAAATCGATGAAAAATGTTCAAGATTAGGATTGTCAATACCACGTGCTCAACTCAAGTTTAAATACATATTCGATGGCCCATGACATCTGCATTCGAAAAGGTGAATGACGAAGCAACTGATATCACATCATAATCTTACGAGCGAAAATATTTATACTATTTTTTCAAGTCATAATTATTTTAGTCACCGAAAGAGAGATTAATCGTAAAATGGTGAATTAAATCTTTTTTTTCCATCTCGCTAGACAAGAATCATCAAAGTATTGCACATCCAAAGAAAATATCTTAAGTTGAAGTTCGTGTCTACAAATGATCTCGAACGTTCAATTAAATTCTAATTTGCATTTTCCAATGTTTGTGATTCTGATGAGATTTTGTTTCTCAAAAAATCCATTCAATTGGACTGAAGGTTACTGTAACGAACTTGACATTGAACTGATTGATTGACTGTTTATAAACATGTGGCTATTTTGTGGTTTCATTTTTACTGGACTTCACTTATTTTTGTTTTCATTTCTTTTTTCGTCTCTCAACTTGCTTTACTTTCGGGCATTTTAATCGAAATACCGATAAGCACTCCTATTTTAGTGAGACAAATAACGAAAACATCATACTATTATTATTCATATTCTTTTTTTTCCCTTATTTTATTGCTGTTGTTGTTATCACATTAAAATAACAGAACACACAATTTGTCCGAATCGTAATTAAAAAATGATCGCAAATCAATCAGTTATTTGAGTGTAATTTTAAACGACAACATGATTAAAGAGTAAACAGAAAGCATTACGCAGCAAATATAAACGTTTTGATGCGTCTTGATGCGATGAAAAAAGCTTAGCTTAAAAAAGCGAATGGCTCACAATTATCAACAGATGACGCACCAATCACCATTTTTTAAAAGTTAACATTGAAAACGGTTTCATTGCGAATTTCAACATTTAGCTCAAATAATTTCGGAAATTCTTCCATTTTATACCTACATATATTTGAGGATTGCAAGGAATAAAAACCATTAGTTTTTGACCGACTTTGGTTTAACCAAATTGGTTGATAGGGTAAAGTTTGACGCCTATGAGATTTTTTTTTTCTAAAATTGGTCTAATTTTTCTCTTTTGAGTGTTTATGTCTACTCAATTTAAGTAACTTAAACAAAACTTGAAAAACCTAATCTAACGTTAGTTTAGCGATATAAATAATTTGCGACAAACTTTCCATACAAAAATAACTAAACATGTGAATTTTTGTATGGGAGCCATGCCTATATGATATCGTAATGGCGTTAAACTTTCCACGGGCTATTTTTTCACAAATAAATAGCATTCCGAAAGTTTAAAGAAATTTTAACGCAAATTAGAGGTACCTACCATGCAAAATTGTAAATTTGAGCCACTTATATATAATTTTTGGGCTAATTTATTTGAAAATCCAGTAAATTGCCGGAAATCAACTAAACTCATAAGAATTTGGTCAACTTCATAAGAATTTGGATAGTTTGTTTACCCCTTTGTTGATATAAATGTGTGTTAGTATTGGCGTATTGTATTTTTTTCTGTACAAATTAAAATACACGTATTCGTCATCGTGAAGTCCTTATCATAAAATACATGGGATGTTATTCGTAGACGTTGATTAACGAATTATGAGAGTGTGTGTATATACTTCTAACAATATGATGATAACAGGGAACGGGAGCGAAGCAATACAATACATATCTTGGCGTACAGTAATCATTCGAATTTCCTATAGTGCGGATAGCATTTTTGTTTCACTGTTTAGTTTGAAAGTTTTAAATGTGATTTCAAGTTTAAAACTTCGAAATATTGAAATAAGATCACTGTTGATCTATTGCAGCATATTCATAATTTGTACGGGCTTAGTGGAAAGTTCACGTAAGTTCAGTTTAAAAACAATTCTGATAATTTGCATTGTGAAAATCAGAGGCACACAAATGCGCATGCCAGTTGATTTGGTTTGCTGTGCTTTTTCAAAATGTCTGGCTGTCGCATGCTGTCGAAATTATCGTTCTGCTATCGTCGACGATTTAATCACATTAAAATGAGTCTATTGTTGTACAATACGAATGAAACAACTACATTTTGCTTATCATTTTTTTTTCTAGAATTTTTGTTTGTTTATTACATTCTCGTGGAGTCAAATGAATACTTCCCGAAATAAAATGAATACCAAGAAAACGATTTAAACTTATTTTTTTGTTATTATTTTTCAAAGGACGGAAATTTCGAACGTCGGACAATTTAGAAGGCAATTGTTTTTTGCTGCAAGACTGTGAGCCATTGTATAATTTACTTCGACAAAAGTTAGCGTCAAAATCATGTACCAAAAAGGACTTTACATATTACAAGCAATACTTATGCGGACCACTTCGTAATCGAAATCCACCTGTAAAACCAAGAGAACTAAAATCTGAATAGAAATGATATATTCAAAAATATGAAAAATCAACCGAAATTTATTAAAAATTCAAATATTCAATATTTTTAGGTATGTTGTCCACCGGTTCTTGAAAAGCCTGACTATACAGAGGAAGAGAATCAAATTGTAACAGTGATTGAAAACAAAATGGTGCACATCTCTCAATCAAGTGGTGATCGAACTGGTGCGAATACTACAAGAACACCAACAAGAACAGTTATTGTAGGTGGTCCAGCCTGCCTCACTGGCATGTAAATCAAACGGCACATTGCTGATGACGTCATTGGCACATATCCATGGTAGGAGAATCAAAATGGAACTTTTTAATGTTACCTAAAAAGAGATCACGCACTTTTAATGCATTGCAGGTTAGGAGTGATCAAATACACCAAAAGTAATTATTCAGTATTTAAATTCATTTACACAAGCAGTAGTGTCTCATTGTGTCTCTTCATTTCACAGACATCGATACACCAACGAATATCCGTGCGGCAGCACAATTGTTAATCGACATTTCGCTCTAACTGGTATTCAAAGTGACAGTTAATTTCAAATCCATTTTATTTTTTGAAATAGTTTTTTTTTCTTTTGTTTTTCATGTTCGATGATAGCGGGTCATTGTATCGTTGGACTTGATGTGAAGTTTAAACGATTGGTGCCGACATCAGTGCGATTTGATGATCATGGACAATACAATCCCGAATGTTCCTTCGTAATGATCGCAGAAACAAAATGTTGTACACTTACCTACACGTTTACTTAATTGAAACCATAAATTTTGAAAGAAAAAAATGATGTGGCAAAATTATGAGTACGCAGCCAAGTTATCAATCTTTTCTCACTTTAGACTTTGTTGTTAATTGGCGATTTAACTAAGGCTATTTCAATTCATTTTTCATTTGAATTTGTATATACGGAATCACCAAAACCGGTTTTATCCTCATCACAATCATCAATGATATCTTCAAAGTTTTTGAACATTAACAACACATTTGTTTCAGCCTTGTCGAAGAATTAACTATAAAAGCTTTCAACGAAAACTATGAACTGTTCTTGAATGCATATGAACTCAACACATCTTTTCCTAAAATATTTATCACTTTCCTTTTGTCGACTATCTGCAGTTTTACCCCTTCTTGTGATTTCGATGGGAAAGCTATTTTAATGAAAAAATGATTTGAATGTGCTAGGGATTTTTGAACACAAGAGAAATTCTTTCGATTTACTACGGATTTTTTTTTCACAATATCATCCCCTAAAGTTCATGTAGAGTTTGAAAATGACTTATCAACTGGTATGTTTGTGACAACCATTTATGTCAGACCGGTTTTATCATTTAACACATAAAAACAATACTTTTATTTCATTTAAAGCAAACAAATTGAAATTTAATTTCGAAACACAAAAGCAAAAACCGAACTCTTTAATAATGTAAATATATTCAACAGAATCATTAGTTTGATAGAATCAAGCTAGTTCACGAACATTGGGATTTGATGCGATTGCATCATATGTGCTTTGAACGATTTTCCTGAGCGTTGGATTTTTCATTTTTTCAGATAAATAATTTTCGTATTCGGTTATTGTTACAGTCATAAATAATGGCGGAGGAGTGAGAAATGCATCTGTATTGTAGACATATTTATTCGGACAATGATAGTCATCGATTGATTCATATGACCAATTTCCTTCAAACCAAATGTTACACTCATTATCGATTCCGATGAATTTGTTATTTGTATATTCGCGAAGACCAGTGGTTTTACATGCCCTTGCACTTCGTCCCAAAATCCCATTAATTCCATTCCTTTTTATTACGTTTGGAAGTCCACTTCCATTGTTGGCGATATGAATGAATTTGGAATAACCAGCAGCACCACCGAAACCACCTGCAAGCACCCCATTGATTTTTAAAACAGTACCGAAATTTATTAATTTCATTATCATTTGATTAAGCTTACCAGCACCACCCGTTCCAGTCACACCACAACAATGAATTGGAAATATTCTGGCTTCACGGGTGACTTTCCTCCCGATTAGCGATGACGTTTCTTTTTTGATATGTGCACATGTTCGATTGACCCTTGTGAATGTTTTTTTAATTGTACCACTTTCAAATGTGAGTAAATCACAATACCAGTCTGGGTAGTAGCCTTCTACATTATTTTCGTCTTTTCCATGCACTAATTTAACATCTTTATTGCCAGTTCCGTCTTGTCCATTTCCACCGTTGCCACCAATTAACTCAATTGTCAATAAGTTGCCGTTTGTGATTTTATTTGCCAAACCAAAGAAGTTGCCAGAATTGGTTCCAGGATTTCCTGGTTTTCCTGCCGTTCCTCTTGTCGCTGGTGGTGCATGTGATTTACCATTAATTCCATTCAAATAAAATCTCGCGGGTCGCAAAATGTACCATTTATTTGCCAAAATGTGTAATTCCACATTTTCAATTCCATTCAAATTCAGATCACTGTCAACATAAAACGTATCCGCCACAAATACATTGATTTTCTTCATATCTTTTCCAAACCGAATTGAGCACTTTGTTAGTTGAATGTCTGAACTCTTCACGAAATACCCTTCAATCATTGTGATCTGATGGTCACAACAGTACTTTACTGTTGATTTCAGTGTGGTTCGAATGATTTGATTGAGTTCATTCATTTTTGATGGGGTCGGTACAAAGTCGGCCAAATTGTTAAATCGTTGTGTAAATTGTTTGAAATTCGTAGTCGTAATAACTAATCCCTGCACGCATTCTGATTTTCCCCAGTCCGATAAATCACGAACGTTATAAGCGCGAACATCCTTTTGGACTTCATACGAAGCGAGGAAATTATAAACATCGAGCAGAAAGGAATACCAAACATATTCAGAAGACACAAAGTTAATTGCATTGGATGAGTTTATAATCCAATTTCCAACTGGAATAATGAGATCAAATTTCGAAAGTGATTTCAATTCGTTAAGATATAAACTATTCTCTTTAACGCGATTGCATGCACTTATATCAATTGATGTTAAATTCAAAGTCTGAATCAACGTTGAGAATTGGTTTATTCTCTGTTCTAATGTAAACGCGTTGCCAATTGTCTCAACGGATTTCTTTCCAATTTGCAAAAGATTCAACTTTTTATGATGACCGATCATTTCTTTCAGTTTTTCTTTCAATGCGACCAATAAGTATTGATCAACATTTATCATGTCAACTGTAATGTTATTGATTATTTTTGGTATTTCTATTGCTATATCACTCTGTACATTGGCGTCATATTTTTGGAAAAACTCACTCAGTTTATTCAAAAATGATTTGTAATCGATTATTTGTGAAGCATTATTACCTAATGACAGTCGCACATCAATAAGGTTTTCCTCAGAGACAAGAGATTCCAGAATATTTAGTGTATTACCGTCTCTTTCAATTTGGCCGAGTTCATGTTCTTTAATCGATTGCAAACTGATTTCTGTCATTAATTCTCTAAATAAACCAGTGAAACTTTTTAAACTGAAGGCATGGATTTTCTCAAAATACTCAATTTTCGATTGGCTAGTGTGAATAATTTGTAACTTTCTTTTGAAATCGTGCATTGATTGTATCTTTTGATCGATTTCATTCTGTACTCGATCATTGAGATTTTTAGATTGTAAAAAAAGGCTGTTGATCGCTTGCTCTACCATTCCTCCAACATAAAGTTGTGCTTCAGCTGATAACGGAAAACCGAAATCATTTGATCGTATTTGCGCGAATACTATGTTCTCGAGTATGGATTTGCGTATAAGACGACGGCCCACCACAAACTTTTGGATTTCACTAAATCGTCCCGTTTCATCCGGTTTCCAGAACACTGATATTCTTGGAAAAATCCCTTCTGATTGAGTCAATAATGAATTAATTAACTGAATTTTGTCTTCAAATAAACCTTTTTTACTCAAAGTCCTACGATGTTCAAACATAAAATCAGCGGTTGTATTTTTCACATCCTCCTCCGAAATTTCAATAAATTTTCGTTTGATAGTAAAAGTTGATGGTACTTTGGTCACTACTAAAGAGAAACTATTTTCAAAGTGTTTTATTTTTTTGATCAGCTGTGTTGTTTGTTCAAGTAAATCATCAAAATCATTGCGATTTTGACCATTGGTGACGGACTGATAATTAACAACCATTACTATTTTTATATTTTTGGCACCCTCAATGACACGCTTAATGAAAATTGTGTTGGCGATTTCAACTGTTTGATTGCGGGTATCAGCGAAACCAGGGCAATCGTACCACACATATTGTTCGTCGTCGATCACCAATTTTGGAACAAATGTTCGCGATACTGTTGATGAAATGGTGGCATTATCGCGATCCAATTCATCTTTAATGACTAAATCTGGATTGTGTGGATTTGGTGATTCCATTGAAATCAATTTGCTATAATCACCGGCTACGTAGTGAACTAAGGTTGACTTGCCACTCCCTGTATTGCCAACGACCAATATTATGTCCGATTCATTGGTTACTTTTAACTTGTCTTGTGCATTGTTTATAAACTGAAGCGAACTTTCTACCGAGTTGAATATATTTTCTTCACTTGAAACAACTATTAACAAAGTATAAAAAACGAACGAAATTAACGAATTCATATTGTACGTAGCACCGCCGGGGGCAGAGTTGAAAACTGAATTTTAAATGATAAATTAATCACAGCAACACACAAAATTTTATTTATACCTCTATATCAATTATTACTAGATGACATATATTTGAACGTTTTGATAATATACCATGCACCAATTATTTTGCACTTGACGAGACATGATGGCATCATAAACATGAACTTTATATATTATGATCGAAAAAAGCCATCGTAATCACTTCTTATCATTTCCAAATAAAATGATGTCATTCATAGCGGATGGCAATT